TATTTAACCTGCCATGTGACAATGGGGGTGAGACGCGGGGTCAAATCCCGCTGTGGTCAGTCTTGAGCGATAGAGACAGATCCCTGAGACGGTTAGCTAATCCTGACAGAGAGACCCTGCCAACACCATTAGGATAAACTGTGTCAGCGAGTACAGCCGCTGCTAGACGCTAATAAAGAGAAGACAAAAGGGCCGCACATCCGCAGATAACACTCGATAAAACCACAAAGACTAATGTGACAAGGTGCTCGTTTACAGTCTTACCTCATGCCTGTGAAAAGCGTGAATTCCACTGTGACGCAACTGCAAAGTGACAATAGCTGTAGTGTTTCTGAACACTTCCTTATCCTGTTACATCACACTTTTACCTCCGACTGATTCTCAAACAAACTAAGGTACTCTTTGTTTTCACTGCCCTGCCTTTTCTCCAATTCATTTGTCCACACTTCAAACGCCTCCCTGAATCAAGTGTTTGCATATTGACACGGCATGGGTTCACACTGAGGCTCCACAGACAAACCAGACGATTTTTTTTCCAACTGAATTTCCTGTTAGGATTTATTTACTGCAAGGTTCAGAGTTGTTTCAGTCTGACTTTCGAGTCAGAGATGTCTACAGCTTAATTCCTCCTCACATATTCTTGTCAGGGCTGGAAAACGTTCAGACGCTGCTGATGTATCCTCTCAGGTGGGTTGGCGAAGGATGAGACGGGTTATATCACAGGAGTTAGAGGCTGCCGGCTTTAAATCAGACTTCACAACAATGTGAGACACTAAGAATCACATCACATTTTTTCCAGTGATCACAACGTATTTATACAAGACCACCATGGCATGCAGTTGTTAGTGATTGGCAGTTCTTTTAGATGTACTAAATCACTAGAATCAGTTCACTAAAAAGATTTGTTCAAAAGATTCATTCGCCAAATCACCGAATCATCTAGCGAGAGAAGCCTGCAACTCCTGAACTGATAGACAGCTGAACGTTCAGGATTCTGTTCAATTCATAGCTTCTGAGACCAGGAGATGAGAGTGTTTGGCTGTCTTGCTTTGGCAAACAGGTTTGTAAAAATGAACTTGTTTAAGTCATGATGTTTTAAGTGTACTGTCCTATTGTATGCTATTTACCAGGTCTGCTCAGTAAATTGGGCTCAGTGAGTGATTCGTTCACTGAACGTTTAGAAGAATTCACACTGAACATGCACCGTTCTCTCGCAAACCACTGCATTGATAGAATGCTGAGAGTTTCAACTGAAGTGAGAAACGAACAAATCACTAGAGAAAGTGATTCGGTTCAGTGCGTTCACTTAAAAGATTTGGGTCCTTTGAATGAATTGTTCACGAACGACACAACTCTAGCAGTTGTCTGAGATCATACAGGACAATTTAATTCAATAATACCCATCTAAAAACTAAAAATCAGGGAATTATCAATCACCAGGGAAAATAATAGGGCTGGCCAATAAACTGAAAATTTACTGATACCGAAATTTACAACAATAACCGGAGTCATTTTGCCCGTTTCGGTATAATCTGTGTCAAAAAAAATAAACAAATAAAAGTTGGTTTTGGATGTGTGTAGGTAGGCTATGGCCTCATGCTATGGCCTCATCCTACGTTGGACAGGTAGACAGGTGAGGAGATGGAGGACGGTCCAAAGTAGCAGCTGCCATGGCGGCTAAAGTAGAAAAAGTTAAAGTGGGAGGGGGTGAGCAGCTTGTGAAGTAGCTATCGTCTATTTATCGTTATCATGGTGAACTGCGCAATATATTGTGATATTGATTTGAGGCCATATCACCAAGCCCTAGCAACAACTCTGCAAATACTTTGAAACCAGAGTATTTTTGTAAAAGAAAAGTAAAAAGCAATGAAAAGATCTCGCCATACCCTCAAAAATTTATTTTACCAATTTCACGGTCAGACTTTCAAGAAACGGAGCAGCAGATAAATCATTAATGAAGGTTATCATTATATGAGGTCCTTGTATTCACTTTTATAGCTAAATCCAGTCTGAGAAGATCACTGTTGTAAGCCATGCCAAGAAGCAAACTCTGCATCCGACTCTTTGTTTCCATAACCATGATGGCATGTGTCACTCGCTGAAATTACAGCCTGCATAAAGCTGTAAAGACTATGAGCCTACTTCAGCCAACAAGCGGTCAATGGCACCATAATTGTTTCCTCAATGTCAGATACACGAGCAGGAGTCTCTGCCACTAACTGTAGCCCACTGGTTTTAAGTGGTGACCTATTGATTGTGTGTCCTTTGTGCGTGAAGCTTCCACCATCTGCAGTGGAGGCCGTGCTGAATTGAAATGACCATGAAATACCATCTTGACAGCCAAGATGGATTTATTGTGTGTATCTGCAGAGCATAACTGCTAAAGTCTGCAGCCGTGCAAGCTTAGGTGTGCACCAGTGTGGCTCTGCGTGCAGGATTTGCATGCTCAAAACCAAACCAGTGCCACCGCAAACTGTCCTCACGGTTTGGATTGCATGGTACAATGCTGACTTTGAATACTAGCAGCAGTGGACATGTTTCTAAAGTAGAGAACAATGCAACATAATGTTCCTAAGCCCATCTATTTTTCTTTTTTTATAGAAACCATTAGAGGTGATGTAACAGGACATTATTGCAGCCCAGTAATTTAACAATGCAGCAGAGCAAAGTGAAATAAAGATCGATGGTTTCATCATTTAAAAGCAACATGTTTTTGTTTGTCGCATCAAATAATGTTGTTTGGCCAAAGTCAGGGCTGTTGTTGTTGTGTATCGTGCTTTACAGTATGCAAAACTAAAGTTTAATCTTCTCATATCAATCAACAGATGATCCTACGACTGGCACCAACTACAGTGCTTTTAACAGATATATCTCTCTAATTAGTCTGCACTCCATGACTCTTCATGTTGGCACTAGATGACAATCCTGCATTGGCACATTATAGATTTTCATTTCTACACAGTTGACACGCAGAGGTCTGTAACTCTGAGGTCATTTCTGACTCCAACCTTTTCCATTGACACTTAACTGTTTAGCCAAGAAGATATGAAACTAAGATCATGTCTTGTCTTTCTCCTGCAGAGTTAAAAAAAGACCTCCATGCATTTGTTCCCTCCAGTCTTGACCACTGTAACGCATTTTAACCCAGCATCAGGAGGCGCAACATACAAAGACTGCAATCAATTCAGAACACTGCCGTAGGACTATACTCCCTGTTGCTTGCGGTCTTCAAACGGGGCCAAACTGTGGTTCCTCGACTGTGTAGAAATGGGAAGATTTAGCAATATCTAACAGCCAGCTTCAAGACTGAAATGCTCCCCTGCTCACCCCTCTCATTGGTGAAGCAACAGCGGCCCTGAAGGAGAAGAAGCTTGTGTGATTCATAACTATGATCCTCAAACCATCCTTCAAACGTCCATCAATAAAAGTTATTTTACACAAGACAACAACAACCTATCTTGTCTTTTCTTCTGACTGGTGCATTTCACGTGACAACTCACTGGTTTGTTTCAACCACTCAATCAATCAATCAATCAATAACTTTATTTGTCACCAATGGGGCAACAAAGGGAGCATAATCGAAAAAACAATTAATCAAAACACCACAAGCAGCTACCCTTTCCTCCATGAATTGAGAAGGGAGATGGCAGAAGGTATGAAGGAATGTTTATATCTGTTAGTTTTAGCAAGAGGAACTCTGATCAATGAATCTGATCATGTAGAGGATGGGAACAGTCAGACAGGATGGATTTTGCTTTACAGATCCTGTAAAGTTTACTGAACAGAGCCGGTTATTTGACTGCAGACATTAGCCACCTTGTTAGGAACATTTTTCTGTTTTACCTTAAGTGATGAAAACCAACCAAAACAATTTTCTGTACAGCTAAATACCACTTCATTCTACACACTGAACCTTTAAACATTTATACCCCCCCTCCCCCCTCCAAGGATCTTTATGAATAAAGGTATTATTAATATTACTATTATTGTCATTCTTTTACTCTTCAGCTGATCAGATGACGCCATGAATCATCATAAGCCTGTTTTGATACTAAGCAACTACTGCAGCTTTGCAGTGTTATAATGTTATCATCATGCATAGGATACCATCATTTGAGTTACACCCCTGTATTCCTTGTATTTGTGTTTTTTATTTTCACTCTTGACTCTACTGACCCTTTTTTTCTGTTACCCTCTGGTGCATCCACAGAGCCAGCCCTTTTTCACCGGTTTGTTAAGATGTCCTGAGATGCAAGACGTCTTAACAAACCCACTTCACAACACCTTGATGGACCAATGCCAAAGGGCCAATGAAAGACAGAAAGATTCAGTAGATCTTTTGTACCAACAGCCATTAGACTTTGTAACTCTTATGTGAGACAACAGACAATTATCAATGTTCTTATTCTTATTTGGTTCCTCCATCCTGTTCTTGTTTATTTAACTGTAGTTTTAAGTTGTAGCTGTATTATTAAGTTCTTCTGTCCTTGTCTTTTTTGTTTGGGTTCATCTGTTCATGTATTAAAAGCTCTCCTGTTTTTGTTGAGTCCCCCTCACCCTCAGTGAAAACATCATCATAAGGGTTTTGTTTTGGTTTGCTAAACAGCCACAAGCATCGGCATAAACCTCCTTTACCCATTGTTTTATCTTTTCCTCAAAATGCAAACGTTTTTCCCCCTAATCGTGGAATACACAAGTCTCCTATGCAAAGAGAAAAGGGACCAAGTGTGGCTGTTTAAGGTTAGACTCCCATGCAGGGCTGCAGCTCCTGTTATGTTAAGTAGCCTTGATTATCTCTGCTGATAGACGGCTTAGAGAAATACTGGGACAAGCTCAATGGCAACAGTTGCATGGAGAGGAAACACTATTGCAGATTAAGTACGGTGCAATGTGTAAATGTTGCAATCAAACGACATCGCCAATTTTTGTAAAGTGTACATGTAAATAAAGGAAGATTTTCTCTGACCTGTTGCGTCCTTTCAGCCGGATTCATCATCACAGCCTGCCGAAAGCTGTTATCCACGTAAGACGCCATTGTTTTGGAAGACACCGTCTGGAGGAGATTGTTGATAAACAAGGAGGAAATGTTGAGAGATATCCAGAGCCACGGGTTGAGACAAAAGAAGCCCCCCTGCTGTCCTCGCCTTATTCCCGTCGCCTGAGCTCCGAAGCTAGCGGATAAGCTGGGAGTGCCCGGAGCCAGGCCACGACTGGAGCCAGACAGACGAGCAGTCTCCTCGGGGGTGTCTGTGTCTCTCTCTCTATCTGAGCCGAAAAAACGTCCGTGGAAACTTTTCTTTTCAAAGCGCGGCTCAAACTGCCCCCCTTAAAGTTGTTTCCTCTGCGTGGAAAATGCCCCTTTATTTGAGCCAGCGTTCACCAGAGCCAGTCCTTGTGTCTTCAGCATTCTGCAACCGACGAAGAAGAAGAAATTCCGCGTTAAGGTCCACGAGCGCACAAATACAAGAGTGAGCGAACGGTTACCCCGTCAACAACAACCCGGTGTCCATCTTGAGAGGTAGAGCCGAACACATTCACTGAGAGGAACCCTTAATTTAACATTTTTACTGGGTCTAAAAGTGGAGACAGGTCCGCCGCCGCTGCGCTCTGTTGTATGCCACCATGGTGACTGTCACAGCAGGGTAAAGTCACTCGGGTAAAACGGATGTATTTCCGCCAGAGCTTTTCAAAATAAAGCTCCCAGGAGAAAAACGCGTGAAATGATAATAGGGACACTTTCCTTAAGGAGATTCAGGGGCGTGAACAGGAGTGGACAGGGGTGGCGAGGGCCTCCATATGCCGCGTTCGAGTTACCTTGTAAGTCAGAAGTCCGAGCTGAAAATGACGTCACACCAGAGTTATCAGAGTTTCAGTTACCAAGTCGGAAAAATCAAAATCGGAGGCCTGAAACAAGATGGCTACATCTATGGAAGTTATTTCAATGCTTGCCTTGTCCGAATATAAGGCAAGCACTAAAATAACTTTTGTAGATGTAGCCAACAAATTACAAAAAAAACACCTGAATACAGTCTGATAAATGATAAAAAATGTGTACTTGTAGTTTATTAGTTTTCAAAAACATCTAATGTATCAAACAAGATAAATACATATATTTGTTAAATTTTAAGGACATTTTGACTTTTTTGTTTTACAGTAGTAAGTGAAATAAACATTTCAGCTCCAACAAAATTCAAATTTTCTGGCCATAATTTGTGGTGTCAGGCATTAAAGGGCTACGCTATTTGCCCATCAATCCTGGTGTCATTTAACCTGCTCACACATTGACTGCAGTGTGTCTAACATATGAAACCCTAATGATGGGGTCTCTATTGTTTGCTTGCTTGGAGACGTTTGTGTATGTGGTACTCCTGTTCTGCTTCCGGAACTCCTACAACACTGGGACACAAATATTGTCAAGTATCAGGGTGCAATGTGGTTTTCACTGGGCACTTTTGATTAAAAGACTCAAGCGCTTAAAAGTTTGATTTCCTAATCAAATCTTATTAAATTATTCATATTGTTGCATTATTTTGAAGTCTCGCTAATTGTATATCCTGTCTAGCTGTTATTGACTTGACAGAGATTCAGTCACAAGAGGCGGCTCATGGGCGAGTCCATATAACAAAAAAGTGGGAATAGGGAGCGAGGAGTGCCATGTGGCAAAGTAATGCTTTGGGGCCACCTACTGACTTTATCAGGTACTACATATTATAGCTGATAGAAAATGCATGTTAAATTTGATATTGTCAGATTTATCAAAATTATATGATGATCCTCAACTGCAAGAGAAGTGATCAGATCAATAAAACTGCCATGTACCACTCCTGCATTATATCATTGTAATATTATACAGTCAAAATACTTCAGTGACTACACAGAAATGTTCTTGGACACAAAGTACAACAAGTAAAACAGCTCATGATGGCGCATTACTGGATAAAATATTTACCACAACCTCATGGTAGTGATGCAATAGTATGTAAGCATCACTAATGTTGCGCCTGTTTAAACAGGGCTCCCTCTAACTAACTGATTTGCCATGTTGTTGAATTCATTGTATTTTCAATCTTCAATCCACTTATCTTCAATCAGCTCAGGGTTAAACTTAAATACTTTTCACCATCCTTGGATATTTAATCAAGCAGGAATTAAATAATTATACAGCATATTATGAAGAATAAGATAAAAACACAGAGTATGGGTTATGCAAATTATAAAGGCACAGCAATTAACAGCTGAAACATTAGGTTGTCAGCTTTAAAAACAACCCCAGGTTCATCTTTTGGGAGAGCTGCAATAAGCACAATTCAAGGCAACATGAACTGGCAGGGACTGGCTTTAACACCCAGTTAGAGCACAGGGTGCTAAATGTCAGATTAGATAAGCTTAGATAAGTCTTTATTGATCCTCCAGAGAGAACTCCTCCAGGGTTATATCAGAGGCTACAGGCTGTAACAAATGAAGATCCACTGGGTTAGATGGTAAAGAAAAGCCATCAAAGAATATAGGTGGTGGTGTTTAAACAGCTGAAAGAAGGTAAATGACATGAAAGTATCATATCTTTATCTGCATATATAAAACAAATAAATATGCAAAAGATGTCTTTATGGGGCAAGAGGGAAGACTATCATTTTTATGCGACCCCAGTTCTAGTAAAGTTAGGATGTTGTGCAAAATGTGGATAAAAACTGATTTCAATGTTATTTGAAAGAGGCATTTGGGAGACACAGAGCCTTTCAGAAGTAAAGATGAGAAAAGGTTCACTCCTCTGTGAGAGGTGAGAAAAAAGTTTTGCTATTTCAAAAATTATGTTCCTGAGTGTAAAACTGAGAAGAGTAGGAGATTTACACTCCAAAATATCATTAAAATATTCAGAGTTTTGTCTCTGCATCCACAAATGCATGTTAAAACAGTACCATGCAGATTATGTGGACTTTTAAAGGCCTGAACCAGTTTTTAGACGAACTGATGTTAAGTGGAAAACTATCTTGTTGTCTGACATATAAAAACTTGACATTTTGGGGGGAAACAATGCACTCAGTTTACCGCTCTGAAGAATAGAGGGACCCTCCCTCTCGATATCAGCTCATTTAGGGTTGCATAAGTGCACATGGCAAGGCTGGTTCACTCATCTGGGAAAACAGTACATTTCTATTCTTTTAATGTTTGGCATGTTTTTTTAACCTACTTCTAATTACATAGGAAGTTAAAAGGGTTTTGAAACCATTAAATGCTGTTTATGTTGATATTTAACACAGCACCACAATGGAATTTGGGTCATAATATAAACAGATAAGAATCACTAACAAGGACAACAAAGTGCAATTTACCCGAGAGGTTGACACTGTGAAGAAGAAAGTGTCATTATGTTGTTTAAAATGTGTAAGTGATATGTGTTGGTCATGCACCAGTAGCAGCATCCCTTGTCTTTACAATGTTACCAGGACACAACCACTCACACCATGACAACCAGTTGTTGCATGACGACCAATCATGGCCCCACGGACAGAGCGGACCGCTGGGCACAAGTGTTCACCCAGGGGCCCACACTATAGAGGAGCATCCCGCCTGTAACCACTTTATACATGCATGTAGGAAAAGATGAAGAAAAATATCAGAGCAGCTGCAGGAGGGTCAGAGCGTGGACAGAGGATGATTTTTACAGGTAAGAAGAACATGAAAGGGGTGTATAATGCATATGAGTAAAATACAGATTGATTTGAGTGGGATACGAATGGGTTAAGAGATGTTTTGTATTTATATCAACACATTTCCTCTGTTAAAAAATCTGTGATACACTGACATCAGGATCAGAATGATTCATCAGTGAGAAAACATGTTGATTCAGACTGCGTTAACTGATGCTCCTACGAGATTATATGGAATACCTCATGGCATTGTTCAGCAATTACATGATATCCAAGCATATGGTCTCTGTCCAAGCAAATATAACAGTGATTGGACACATGATGGCACTCCAACCAGGGAGAAATATAAACTGACAAACTGCCCGAGCATCTGTGTGCCTGTGGGGAATTGTGTTATTGTGCAGAATCTGGTTTTGTATGCATAACAACACCGTACAATTCAAGCAGATAAGTGCTTAAATATGCACCAGACAAGCTCACAATATGGTCGATGATTTATAGATTTACCCAAAGTTTAATTTTGGGTGATTGTAATATAATCACACACTACTACTGAACATTTTCCAAGAATGAATAATTGATGTTTTCTTTATGTTGGTGCTTCTGCTGTGAATAAACCGAACATAAGAGATGTGAGCCTTGCTTCTATCAACTCCAGAAAGATAATTAGCTCTAACGAATCACCCAAAGCAAAGTGCAAAAAGCATCTGCTCTTTCAGTTTTGCAACTTAAGCTAATTATCTGATTCCTTTGTCTTTCCTTTTTAATTAAATTTTGATTGAATTCACACTAAGCTGCTACTGGCACTGAACAAAGGTGACACAGACAGTTTTTCTCACAATTTAATGTAAGATGCATCGATTTTTGTCTTTCTTTTACCGACTTTGCAATGCATTCCTTTAACTTTTCGAATGAGGATTCGTGTGAATGTTTTAGCACCTTTTTCACACCTCTGCTGCTCTCAACAAGGCCCTGATGGAATTGGAGACTACAGACCGAGATCAAATTATTTCCCCTGGTACGTCGGTGTGGGCACCCCATCACCTGAGGCCACGGGCGATCTGAGCTACCTGTGCCGAGCTGCACCACAGGCCCCTCCTCCTGCACCCAGGCACAGCTATGTGGGGGAGGTGGGATGGGGGTGGCAGTACAACCAGCTGCTTAACAGTGGGACGCTGCGCAGCAATATGCAAATTAAGGTAATGTGTACATTCTCTGTTAATATGCATGCAGAAATACTAACCTTGAGCTAAGGCACCATGAATATCACACAGAGATCGGCTCAGGAATTTAATTTTAGCATTTTCCCCCTTGCCTCACAAATGTTGTTTTTAACTGAAGAGAGTTTTTAAAATGTTATAATTTGTTGTTTTTAGTAATTTAGTGATGATATTTCGTATGCTGCATAAATGGAAGAAAACAGCATTAAAATGTTCTATTTTCTGACAGAAAACTGAAATCCGTGCAGCCTTGGAGGACAGAGTGACTCAAAGGTTCCAGGAAGAACAGTAAGAAACACTCACACTGGTCACATATGTTGGACGTATTCAGTTTCCTTCTCTCAGAATCGTGTTACATGTGGCTCTTTGCACTGTCAGCTGTATCAGTGAGAACATCTCAGGTGTGCTCAGAGCTGAGTGACTGCATTGCAGGTTATCTGCTCCCCTAATTCATAATGCAACACTTCCACTTTAACAGGAACACACATCCCTCGAGCTGCAGTGACACTCTCACTCTGTCTGACACACAAATTACCCAAACAGTCTGTGTTGCTGGTTGGTTTCTAACTATTTAAACCAGTTTCTTAAATAAAACTATTTCTTTTATCATTTGTTTTGTCTCAGCCCGGTGTAAAGTTAAGTATTTAAGCCTCATTTCTCTCCCAAGGCAGCTATCAGCTTCATATTTAATAAAATAAAACTCTAAATAATTGGTAGTAGACCAGTGTAGTTGTTCCTTGACTTTACCTTTAACCTATAGGGCTGATCCTGAAACAAGGGCGGGTTCAAACTGCAATTGTAAATGTATTATCCTATTAACCAATGTGACATAATGGCCTTTGCTCTGGCACCATCATCAGGCCAAATTTGGAAACTGTATCACTTTATAGAGAGAAATTTTAGAGTCAGCAATCAGATATGGGAGAAAACTAACCAAGGTGTGAGCAACATGGAGGGTATTTCACTGTGTGTTGGCTTGAACTAATAGCGCAAAGGAGCCCCATAATGAGCTGAATAGTCACCTTTAACTGTCAGTCACATATTAACCGCTCTATCATGGCTTCTTGGTTTAAATTAACTCTCCATGTGTGGAACCTATTAAACTCAAACCTTTTGAACCCAAAAAGCATATAATAACAAATTCAGACTCAGTCTCTCCATTATTCGCACATCATTAATTGGTTTTTGAGATATGCGAGAGAGTGATAAGTGACTCAGTGAAATGTGACAGACTCCTTTTGTCATCCGCTATAACCTCATATATATATATTACTGTTTGTTTCCTCTATAGAAACAACACGACAGATGACTCACTCCAAGTCAACACCAAGAGTCACAGAGGCCGTCAGAGCTGACTGCAGATGGCCTTTACTTCCCACAAGATGAACCTTAGTGTTACAGAGGTGTTTCCTTTAATGGAATATCTTGTTAATTGTATCATTTTCTCACTCTTTCCAGTTCAGAGGGTTTACAGGATATTGTACTCATTTTGATAAACATTACAGATGTTGAGGCACAATTTTGCATTGCATGGAAATCATGTCAACTTGACTGTAACTACACTAGCTCGTTATTGTGATGGAATACGCAACTTTGAACTTGACTACCTCTGACAACAAAACTCTCTCTGTCACAGTTTCCATAGTGTGCTTGGAGCTGAGGTACATGTCAGATATTTCACTGGGACAATCAGACTGAACATTCCCTCCAAAATAAAAGCAATGAAAAGTTGGTATTATTTTATTAAAGGTCTTAAAGGTCACGGGTAAATGTCTGATTATTGTATTAGAGTGCCTGGTAATCCATCCCCAATGCTGTGGCAATCATACCCACTTATGTCTGGTGGAGATAACTGCACAATTTATTTATCTCTTAAACTACGAGAGCAGACACCAATTTTTATACAATAAGTCACACAGACATCCATTTCCTGAGGTCAGCTGCTACTTGATGGTTAAACCTTCGTTTCAAAGGACTCCTATCAGTCTGACATCCACCTGCAAGGATTTTGAGATTTAACTGTGTTGAGACAAACTATTGTTTGTTTTATTTATTTTGAATTGTTTTCCTGTACAGTTCGAGGCATGTGAGGGGTAATACTTGTACTCACATATAAACAAGCTAGGACTGTCTTAAGGAGCTGGGAAGAAGTTTTCATGTTATTTTATGTTTTATTAAGCGTCACTCAACCCCACAGATGAACAGTATCTTTTCAAGTCTTATTTAGGGTGCAGTCATCTTAATGTTTAACATCAGCCCACACAGATGAAGTGTTACAACCTCTTACAAGGACTGACAGTAATTAAAAACTCTTTTCAAGGAGGATCCATTTGAAATAAAATGTATTTGACAGGGGCATCTCATTGACTAACTGCTAATGGAATAGCTTATATGTCGTAAGAAATATTTTCTTTTCTTTAGCAAGGCCAATCGTTATCGCAGAATGGCTGAAAACAAGAACATGTTCACAGGATTTTTAATGTGATGCTCAAGTTTTAATTTCTTATGTATTAAATTTGATTTAATGGTCTAAACCAGTTTTGCCTGTTTTTAAGTAAAAACTGTGTCATTGAGTTTGCAGAAACTCTGCTGTTATTATAGCTTATATGTCACGGTATAATGCAAAAAAAGTCAATTATTAAGGCTGCTCTATACCATTGTATTTGATTTGTCTGTTCTCACCTGCATAACCAAGGGAATGTGCATTGTAAAAGGTATAATGATTTCAGTTTATAACTGACTGTTGTTTGATTTTGTATTACTGGGAAACACACTGAGGTTTGAGGTTAATATCATTGAAATTACTTTTAAGAATACAGACTGTGATATGTATATTACATTAGTATTTGGAATCCTTTTTAATGGAAATTACAATATGATTTGAAATGACATTTTAAAGACCTGATTTGACCAGCTCTAACAACACTGCTTATTGAGGACAGTACAGGGTGTATTCAGGATTTTTATTCTTTTAAATTTTCCCCATTTTAAAATCACTCAGTGATAGTGCATTGTTCAATTCTTCCAGCAAATTAAAACTCATTCAAACTCATTCAAACCATTCTGATACTTCAAAACTTTCTAATACTTGAGGATTTTTAATCATTTAAATTCTCCCTGTTTAAATTAGTTTTAATATTCATGCATTATTTAATTCTTCAAACAAAATCCCACTTCAACAACTACAACTACTGCTAATATCATATAAACTAGTACTTTGACTTCTACTTTCTCTACTGCTACTACTACTTCTACCACTAGCTCTACTACTTTGACTTATATTTCTTCTCAAACTACTTCTACTGCATACATGACAACTAATATCACTACTACGACAACTCATCATACTACTACTAGAACTACAAATTAAACTTATACCACCGTCCTGCCTTTTAAGATAATTTACTTCTTCATTCAAACTTTGTGCGATTTCAGACATTTTTCCAGCCTCTTTCAGCATGAATATAATTTCAATTCATGGATCATATTCATACTATTTGTCCTTCAACCATTTTCACAGTTATTTAACTTTTAACAATTGATAATTCACTCAATGGTAAACCTATGTTAACGAACCTTTTCAACCGAATACTTTTATTTTGAAAGACTTAACCGGAAGACGACAATTTCATTCCTCTTCATTGAACCGGCCGGGTTTCGCTAGGTCTCAAGAAACAAGTGTGTTAAATCGTCCAACCCTTCAAAATGTCTCATCCAACACCTTCTGAGAAGCCTTCAAAGCCTGAAAACCCTCGCGTCTTCTTCGATGTAGACATTGGAGGGGAAAGAGGTCAGTGTGTTTTATTTCATTTTTATCAGCTAACAGGTTTTTAGAGGCTTCTTTGACCGTTACCCTCGTTAGCTTAGCTTAACCGTCGCTCGTTGTGGTGACTTCAAGAAACTGGTTCATTCAACGTTAGTGACTGTCAGTACAGCCATAAACAGCTCAATTACATTTAATATCCGACAGCTTTGAGTTAAATAAACATTTATTCAATATTGTGGTCGTCTCATGACTAGTAAGGGTCTTAACCACGTGTGGTTGTAGGACGTAGTAAGACCTGCATGAAACTGTCATCGACTCCAGCGCGACTCTCCAACCAGCATTGTAATGTTGGAGAGAGAGGAGAGAAGCAGTTAGGGTGTTAATTACATATTTAGGACAGAGCACTTCATATTAGTTCAAGAATGATGTTTATAGTTGGCTGGTAAACAGTACCAGGTTATTCACCGTTGCCTTATAAGGCCTGTTATTAAGAATAGATTGTGTCAGGTGGGCTATAGTACTAAACTGTCTCCTCTATCTGTATCAATAAAGATGAGAGATCTATTACATTTTGCCTTTCATTTAAAGTGTCTTTTATATGATCACAATAGGGCTGGGCGATATGGGAAAAAGTTCATCATGATATATATTTTTTATATCAGTCGATATCGATATATATCACGATACAAAAAAATGAAATTTAACTGCTTGTTGGTAGCATGTCTTTGCAATACAATAAGTTACTGCATCTGTGAGGTATTTGGGTCTCTTTGACGTTTTGTTGTAAGGCGTTGCGCTAGAGAATACGTACTGAATGGTCGGCTACACATGCGCCATGGGCTCCTCGCTCCACTCTGGGTTTGTAACCTTTTGCATTGCGCATGCTCCCCCGCAGTTATTCCCTGACTTTGCGAAAACATGTACTTGGCATACCGAAATACCCAAAATACCTCCACACCACCGATGTTTTCATGCCAGTGTTGTTGACTATGTCACCTTCATCTGCATTTCTGCGGGGGGTAGCACTTATTTTCTCTTTTTCTTACCAACAGTGCTGTCGGCTTCACGTGTTGAAGCGCTATGGTTGCGTGTAGCTGCAGCCTGCTACTACGCAGTTGTTTGCTACTTGGTTCTAATTCAGCACATGATTGGTTCAGCAAGAAGCGGATCCGGAGAAATCCCCTTTTCATTGGCTATTCGTACAGTCTACCTAAACATGGCAGAATGTCGACTACCGAAAAGCATATTGACCATGAAGGAAATTAATTCTTGATCTATTTTGTTATCGTTTTATCGCCCAGCCCTAGATCACCTAATTCTTTCGGGAAGATAATGGTAATTTGCTTTGTCTTGACAACTGATTGGTCTTGACAATCAGTTATGTGTGTGCATTTATGTAACACCAGTGATAATGAAACTTTATACGTTTACCATCTGGTTGATAGGATTCTTCTGACTTGTGACCAGTAATGATAAAACTTAATCTTGCTTTCTTCTGGCTACATTTATCCATGACCCTGTGGTTCAGTTGTGATGCTCACATGCTGATTGCAGGCACTTTAAATGGTCATCAAGGGTTGGCAAGGGAACCCTGACCAGTCTGCAGCTGCACAGCCTCATTCACAACAAACTCTTATGTAGGATCAGACCTCACTTTAATGTTTTTTCATTACTCTTTGAGAGCAACTTGAACATCTCACACATGACTATCATTGTAGGATTTGATCATGACTGATATTTTTACATTAAACAATCAGTTAACCCAGTAAAAATCAACATCCACATGTGAATAATGCAGAGGGAGACTGTGATTAAACTTGTGAACTAATCCTGTTTTTTTCTTCACACTCACAGCTGGCCGGGTGGTTATGGAGCTCTTTGCTGATATCACCCCCAAGACTGCTGAAAACTTCCGGTCTCTCTGCACAGGAGAGAAGGGCGTAGGTAAATCAACTGGGAAACCGCTGCACTTCAAAGGATGTCCGTTCCATAGAAGTAAGTATCCTCCTCAGCGGCACATAATGTCGGCACATAAGGGGCATAAACAAGAGAAGTTCAGTTAATATCGAGATTCAAGACATGTTAAGCTTAGAAAACATTGGGAGCAGAAAAAAAAGAGGAAACATGTAAAAGTTGTCCTTCAAATCAGGACTGATGGATTATTATTGATATTGTTAATCTACTAGCTTTAGATTTTTCCCCTAGATAAAGTGGGTTTGACAGGCAGGTGAAACTTTTTGTTTTGAAGCTGTCTGAATGTCAAGAGGATTCAATTTCTTATTAAGTGGATTCTGAATCTTTGTGTCTTTCCAGGTGTTATCATTGCTGATATGATTGATTGAAAATATACACTGAAAGTGCTAAAGTAAACATGACTTTTAATGAACTCTGCATTGGATTTTGTTTAAAATGAATTTCAGCGTCTGTTGACTAATTTTGTGAACTTGTAACTTCTTGGATACTGGAGGCTACTTTAAATTAATGCCATTGATTGTTGTCAAAATAAAGAAGTTGCGACTCCAGGGCATTTAGCTCTTAAGCATATAATCGGTACAAATGTACGGCACAATTTTCAAAAGACTGGAAAGGCAAGAAAATATGGTGTTTGCCAAAAGCTCTCAGAAAAGCCTTTTCTACCAATGACACTATCTGTTAAAATGCAGTGTCGCACTCGACTGTCATTAACACTTTGGGTGTTTTAATGAGGCACTTTAAACCTGTTTTGATTTTCAGGTTAGTTAATCTGCACAATATTTTGTCTGTTAAATTGTTTTTGGCAGTTATCAAGAAGTTCATGATCCAGGGAGGTGACTTCTCCAACCAGAATGGCACCGGTGGTGAAAGCATCTACGGGGACAAGTTTGAAGATGAAAACTTTCACTACATGGTAAATGCATTGATATGTTCTTGTGTGGAGCAGGAAATGGGAAAGAGAGAGGGTTATGACAAATGAAGGCAAAGGGCCACAGTTTGGAAGTGAACCTGTTTTTTTTTTCTCTCTTTGTGCAGCATGACAAAGTTGGCCTCCTCAGCATGGCCAACGCTGGTCCAAACACCAATGGCTCTCAGTTTTTCATCACCACCGTTCCCACACCACACTTGGACGGCAAGCATGTGGTCTTTGGCCAGGTGTTAAAAGGGATGGGAGTCGTGAAAATGCTGGAGTCCATTGAAACCACAGAGGATGCTCCTGTCAAGGTAAACATGTAGCAGTACATTGAAAATGTGAAATCATGAGGGTGTCGGAGGAATCATAATGTGTTCAGACAAAGAAGTCATACACAGTTTGGTGATGAATTTCTCCATTTGCCTTCGCAGCCGTGTGTCATTGCAGAGTGTGGTGAGCATAAAGACGGCGACAGCTGGGGTGCGGCACTAAATGACGGGTCAGGAGACACTTACCCGGAGTTTCCTGAGGACTCAGACGTTGACTTTCAAGATGTAAGTATCTATGACCCTGCAGATTTTCAAGGACCAAACCATCTTTTCACAGCAAGCATCAGACATCCCTGCATCCTCTACTGTTTGCCACTCAATGCCTGTTTGTCCTGTTACCAAAACCTGCATGACGGGATCAATAACTACTCTATATCAAAATTCAGGACAAGCACAGCAAACATGAGGAGCAGAGAAAAAACCTGCTCAGCTAAACATCTCTAAGGGTTGTGCTTGTACTCAAAATTGGGGGTGATGGATATTTTCAGTGTTTTGAGGAGCTAACTTTCGATTTTTCCTCCAAATAAAACGATTCAGACAGCTTGGCAAAACATTGTGTTTACCAACTGTCTGGATGATTGAATCTCCGCCCAAGGGGACTTTGTTTTTGTGATTTCTCTGAGTTTCAACATCCCAGACAGAACCCTTAACACTGTTATCATGATGTAATGACAGATATAATCGATACAAACAATGGTTACAAAAAAAATCAAAGACGAGATGAATCGTAAACCAATCTACCGTAAATCCTCAAACATAAACTGAGGTGAGGTCCGGATTCACAAAAGAGTGATTACTTTGAGCCCCTTAACCTGTGCAAATGAGTCATAAAGATGCTGTCTGATTTACAGAGCAAGCACAAAGGGTTAAATACTCCACTGACTATACCACTGAGCAAATAGTGTTTTTTTGCTTATGTTTAAATGAGCCGCCATGTATTAATTTTTAGCAAAATATGTCCCTCAACAAATACAGGTGAGCCTCATTATAAAAACAGCTAATTCACTAACACCGTCGCTGACAGTCATGTGCAGTCAGAGGGAAGTTTTTATCAACGGTGCTGAAGTATTTATACGCCTCATCAGGCTCCAACTCTCCTGTGACAATTCCTCCTCTGGGTGACCTAGAAATGATGTATCTGCTGAGGAAGTCTGTCAGGATGACTTTGACTGAACAGTTTTTATACTAATCAGGGTTAAATCAGTCTCAGGCTGTTTGCTGCTCAACCTCCTTGTGTGCACTGGCTGTGAAATTTGTTCCATCTGTCAAGAATGTTGAGGACTTTTCCTCTTTACTCAGCTCATCATATTTGTGGTTAGAATTTAGCCTAGTCGGGATGAGTGTTATTAAAGTGTCTCTGTTAATTGAAATTAGGTTTAAATTGACCTGTAAAGTCTCTGATCCTGGTCATAATAAAGGCCAGGGTAGAAACTGACTATTGCGCTTGATTTAAGAATTTAAGAGATCTTAATATGAATGGAAATGGGAATAATGCCATTATGTTTCTACCTGTGTTTCTTTTAGGCCGACAAAGTTCTGGCTGTCGCTGAGGATTTGAAGAATATTGGAAACAGCCTGTTCAAGAATCAAAACTGGAAAGGTGCCATCAACAAATACAGTAAAGCCCTCAGGTAATGTGAATGTGAGAGTTTCATTTTATCACAGCTGCTTTTTTTTTAGTACGAACAAGAAATGATGTCCTACGTACGAGCCTCATCTCCAGGCATTCACACTAAACCTGGCAGAGAGAAAGTATGAAAAGGCCAAAAAAAAAAGCGTATCTGTCAGGTCTACCAATATGTGCCATCTCACCCTGCCTGAAAAAAAAGGTCAGAGACAACCAGGAACATGAGTTTCCAGCTCTAATTGCAGCTTAACTTGTTATTCAGCTCAGACTTTCTGCTGCATGGCGGTGCGCTGATTGCTCGTCGCGATCTGTCCTTTTCACTCACAGCGAGCCTTTTATTCCTCTGCAGGTACTTGGAGATGAGCGGAGAGCAGCTGGAGGAGGAGGCCCAGAAGAAGTTGGAGCCCACAGCCCTTAGCTGCTTCCTCAACACAGCAGCGTGTAAGCTCAAGCTGCAGCTGTGGCAGGAGGCTGTGGACAGCTGCAATGAGGTACACTTGATAAAACTGTTGGTTTGTTTCTGACAGGACTAAGTTGACTGCAAACATGAATAGAATGTAAAGGTTCTGAAATAAACTCCTGGTAGGACATGTCCTCATCCAATCGGGGGTTGGGGTGGGGGTATTTTCTGACCCTTAGAAGGTTGCACATTCAAAAATCTGTAAAGAAAGACAGATGACATGACTCCTTGTGTTTTTCTGTTATGTCTTCCAGGCTCTAGAGCTGGACCAAGCGAACACCAAGGCACTTTTCCGCAGGGCTCAGGCCTGGCAGGGGTTAAAAGACTACAGCCAAGCCATGGTAACACCTACAAATACATTACCTTGTACTGTTTTTAAAATACTGAATACTTTTGATGTTTTAAACAAACAAAACAGATGAAATTACACGTTCATTACTGACTCTTACAAGAGCTGTATTCTGGTTCTATCATGGACTGCATTTAATGACAGAGACTTCATCTCCAACCTCACCCAAATCCTCCATGTCACAAGAGACCACAAACTGTGTGCAACATGACCAGAACAGCCGCTATCCAAAGTGGAGCCAGAATTCTCAGAGCTCTCCCTGGTGACTGGCTCTAGTATGAGTCTCGAAATCTGCTCTCTCCATTATAACAGATGGAACACGGGTCGGGCTGAAGCTAGAGTGCACCTCAATAAATGCCCTCAAACATTTGATGTCTATTTTGGTTCTTAAGCTGAACCCATATCCCGTCTGTTAACATGGAATAGGCATTGACTCCAGTTGGTCTGAAGGATTCTATAGGAAATGAGGAGTTGTAGCAGTTATTTAAGTGTTTTTTGTGCTCTCTCTTTTCAGGCTGATCTGAAGAAAGCTCAGGGAGTCGCTCCAGAAGACAAAGGTAAACCCACATTTGTCTGCACAGCCTTAACCTGGACCAAAGCCCTTTTGCAGTTACAGTTTATTCATGAACTTTCACAGTCATTATTCAGACTTGGCATGCAGACTCAGTGATAAGCCTGTTTTTGTGTTTGCTGATTCTCCTAATTGACTCATTTGGGGCAGAATTAAGAAGAATCAAATTAATGATTCAAGGAAAGTCAACAGATTTAATGTTAATTATTTCTAGTTTGATGACTCTTCAGCTCACTGGGAGCCAAGGGAAGTTAAAGGTCATATCCGTTTATCTACATATAAAGCTTATAGATGTTTGTGGATTATATGACTGTGTTACACCAGTCTTGTCGGGGTACTAGATCATCTCATTGTCTCAGATGTTGGTATCTGAAGCCCAGGTCTTGTAAAAGGAGTTTCACTGCAGCAGTAAACCTTCAAGACAGCGTTCTGCAGTTGTTTAATTGAAACAATTATTTTTCCAGGATGAATAGTAATATATGCCAAAATGATATAATACTAATCAGGATGAAAAATGTCCGGTTTTAAACCTTTTAGATGTTGCATATTAATTGCCTAATAAACAACCTCAGCTGTAATCATCTTGGAGCGAACAGCTAATGCTAAAACAGCCACAAGTACCAAAGATGTCATCTGATTTATCTGATGTGGAGAAGATACTTGATCTGGGTGATCTTGAATTAGTTTTTTTCGGGCATACGGATGTCTCTTAAAGTGTGTTTACTATACATCTACATAGCGAGTGAAAGCAAGTCAAAACTCCAATTAAAATTTTTTTGCAAATTTTGGCACCCCATACGCACTATAAGGCGCACCATCAATGAACGCGTCTATTTTCACACATAAGGTGCACCGGATTATAAAGCACATTAAGTCAAACTTTATTTAACTCATTCAATAACTCTGCGAGGCTCCGGTAGCTGCAGTGCTCCGACAAGCCATCAGGCTGTGCGGCTCTGTAGCTTACTGAAGTCGTAATAAAAGATTTTGACAGATTTTTGAGCGCCGTGTACTACATAAAATCGGTTCGAGGTCAGTAAGCACAACCAGAATTCATACATAAGGTTCACCTGATTATAAGGCGCACTGAGGATTTGTGAGAAAATTAAAGGATTTTAAGCGCGCCTTATAGTGCGAAAAATACGGTAGATGCTTTGGTTGTGCCCTCTGACAAAAATCTCATACTGTTCATTTTAGACTGACATGTTCTATAATATATTTTGATGAGGAATCTGTAGAAACTGGGCTGTTTCATTAATGTCACAAGTTCCTCGTGGGAGTTTTGGTATTGTAGAAAAGATTGTTTTTCATGTGAGGATAAAAGCAATCATTTATAAGCCACAAATCTCTGTTTACTAAAATGTTTTGTGTACAGACTTTGTTCGATTTATTGCAAACTGGAGCTCCTCTCTGCTCTTTTTCTGTTTCACTCTCTTTTGATAACTTAAGCAGCACCTAATTGGCCGTACGCTACAAAAGGAAGCGCTGTCAGCAGCCGCACACCCTCCTTTTGTCTTCTTCTAAGTGAAAAAACAGCGGGTTAAAATCTCAGCGTTGTGTGGGACTAACTTCAGCACAAAGTCGTGATGCACATAGAATTGCGTTTGATTCACTTATGCTCATACTGTGTTATTTTTTTCTGACAGCTATCACCAACGAGATGAAGAGGGTGCAGCTGAAAATCCAGGAGGAGAAAGAGAAAGAGAAGAAGATCTATGCCAAAATGTTTGCCTGAACTTTTCACCTCACATCACAGTGAGTTCCCACCTGTAACGGTTTGAAACATTTGAAGTCATCTCAGCGCGGTAAGCTGCACCTACTCTGACACGGAGTCTACGGGCAGGTGACATCTTTATCACAGTCTGTAAAACAAGGGAATAAGTGTTGTAAGCTTGGACCTGTCTCATTCTGACAAGTATCTTCTTCACTGTAATGATAGTTTGAGCGTTACTGTGATGCACAGCTGAATCCATCGCTTTAAAAAAACATGGGTTAACACTAGCTGGTGTTTTCAGTGACTCTGCAAAGTTGTGTACCGTTTCCTGGAAAGGAGACGTTTCATGGATCCAGCGCCCGTATGAACATCTGTTTGTTTTTATTTATGTTTTTTACAGAGCTCAATAAAACAGAATTATAACAGTGAAGTGTTCTTTATTCATTCCTGGGATTATTACCTAAAGATATGTACAGTACAGTTCAGATCACATGTTGTCATTGTACCTGCGTTAACCTTTCTCTAAGATCATGTACGTCTGTTCAGTTACAGTTTGAGTGAAATATATTAACTAGGTTTTTAACACTTCTTGAAAACAAACAAAATTAACACCCTTTGACTCTCCTCAGCTCTCTAATGCTCACATTGTGAAGTTCATAAAATAAAAATACACAGAACTATGAGTCGACTTCTCTTCAGATGTCATGGTCCTGTGCTTCGCTCTTCGCCACTTTTAACTTAACTGTTCCCCTGTACAAATTAAGGGTCCATCTATCATGTAATGCAGATTTTATTCTTAATAACTTCAAAAACAGCCACAAAGTTACTTTCAGATCCGTATATTAGGCACATCTGCCGCTCACTGGCCAGTACTGAAGCCCTGAATGCATGATCATCTTTCACAACGAAAAAGTTAAAAAAACACTCAAGACATTCACATTCCGTTGTAGGCAGGTCCGCCGCCGCCTTCAGGCACAACCCAGTTGATGTTCTGGCTCGGGTCTTTGATATCACAGGTCTTACAGTGGACACAGTTCTGAGCGTTAATCTGCAGCCTCATCCCATCTCCAGTTTCCACGGGAACATACTCGTACACACCTGAGATGGTCGGTAAAGAGACAGAGATTAGGATTGATTTGGTGTTATCTTTTCTGTTTTAATCAGGGATTTTATGGTGAAAGATTCAACAACGAATAAGTATCAACTAGTTCAGCTTTCAATGCAGCTTTGTGTTGTAAAAAAATTATTGATTTTTCAGGCGAAATATCTCAGTAGCTGAAGTGACTCAACACTATCCATGACCAACTACTTCAGTGGTGTTGCTTCTTGTTCGACCGTACATACCTGCGACACGTCTAAGACAATTCAAAGACCTTTAGCTGCTCCGGCTCAGTGATTTTAGACTGAATTTAGAGCTTTAATAAATGCACATTACTCACGGTAGTGCTGAAATGATTGGTCAGCCGTTAAAGGATCAACTAAAGTCAGTGAAACCTATTATTACGCTAAATTTGTCACATTAGCATCTGAACATGCACGACTACATGTGAGAATTTGCTGCTTTTTAAAGCTTCTGTAAGGGTTTTATATATTCAGATATAAGAGGCCGTAATTGACAGAGCGGCCTCTTTCTGAGCTTCAAAAGTCAAAGCTTCAGATTATCTACACGAATGACTATGCTCTTTTTTTAAAAACCTCTAACCACTGCAAGGATACAGGTGTCATACCAAAGTATTTACACATGCTCCATCTGAAGCTCTTTTTTTCCAGAAAACACCACTTTGGGTCGAGGCAAAAATCAGCATCAAGATTGAAGGTGCCACTTAGTCCACAAGGGGGCATAGTAATCATCACAAAGTTCCTGTCAGGAGCTTAAAAGTTAACAGAAGTAGATTGAAAAGTTCTGTGGAATCATGAAGATCTGACCTCCCACTGTGGGTGAACTGTGGTCCGGATTTTATGATGTAATAGAAATACAATTAAAAGTGGTCCAGGCTAATTGCAGCCTTATCTACCTCACAGACACACCACAGTTTGAAGTGTTAAAAACAAGCACTCTTCACTGTCAGTACCAGCACTGGATTAGATCTTAGAGCTGCAACTAATTTAATTTTGATTATCTACTAATCTGCTTATAATTTTCTTAATTAATCACTAGATAATTAATAAATCAGGAAATAATATCTCATCATCATGAGATTTGACAAATGCAAAATAGCTTTTTGAATCAGAGTGCAAACCCAAAAGATAATGAGTCACAGTTGAGGTGCCAGAACCCCAGGTGATTATCTGTTTTGCTTGAAAAGACATTAATTATAAAAAGTAGCTCTGATTAATTTTCTGCCCACAAAGATGTCATCTATAATTAGACTTCACTTCAGCCGGTAAACTCTTGACTGGAGCGGAGTCAACTTTGCCTCCTGAATAAATCTAAGGTGTGTTAACAGTCGGGGAACTTTTTTTTTCTCACTTTGGACCGACTTCTGTCAGCACTTTAAAACATAAAGAGTGAATAATTCTTCTCGGGGGTCAAAGTGTCGATACCTGCAGGGCAGAAGCGTTGCTCTGGCCCGTCGAATACAGCCAGGTTCCTGTTGACCGGCACGCTGTCGTCTCTGAGGGTCAGGTGGGGGGGCTGGTCCCCCTCGTGGTTGGTTCCACTCAGGGCCACAGAGGAGAGCAGGTCAAAGCTTATCTTGCCGTCGGGCTTCGGGTATTCAATCGGTGTACATTCTTTGGCCGGTTTCAGCTGGTGCGCGTCAAGGCCTGAGACAGATTGAACCCAGCTGGTTATGAAATGTTGATTCTTTCTGTGCAGATAAGATGACCTCAATCCTGACCTGCAGAGGAACCGCTGCTTTGGAGCTCTAGTGCTGCACTGCATGTTTGATCGTTTTTCTCACAATAAGCCTAAGGTCGAAAAGACTCTCAGAATAACTTTTGAAACTTCGGTTTAGTTTTCACAAGCAGGAGGAAGTTCTCTGGCATGACGTAGAAGGAAAAATACAGGACACTGACTTCAGATCAGTGGTTTGCAAATAATTTAAAGTCTAAAAAACGAAATATCAGCTGTCAAAATGAATTAAAGGAGTATGCTCAGTTTGAATTTGATGCCAGAACCACGATTTAAAAGTTTGGACAGAGGCGAGTTTACAGTCGTGTCTCATCACCTCTTCTTCAAACACTGCTGTTTAAATGTTTGGGATCCAGGGAGAGCAGTTAATGGAGTTTAAAGAGTAAATTGTCCCCTATATAGGCGTCAGCTGCACAACGGTCCAGGGTCTGTGTCAGAATTTTTGTATCATGATGCACCGAGTATTTTTAAAGGGACCATAGGCAGGACAGTTTAGCACTCGGGCTCTGCTGCCACACAGACACGCTGATCAAGACTGTTGTTTGGTGTTGTCTTGCGTCATCTGTATGGCAGTGAATTCTGCTCCACACCTGTATGTAATGTTCAGCATTGATAGTTCCCACCATAGATTGTATATAGAATGGACAGCGTCTGCCTCCTTGCTGGGTGAAGCCACTCAGAGAACAGCACCCTCTGTTGACGGGCTGCAGTATAGGTCATAAATCCCACCTCTGCCAGCAAAACTTATAGGGCTGTGGACAAACTTTAGAAAGGCGTTGACATGTAGTTACTGTCAGACTGGTTTGTGCTCAAGTCCTCTTTTTTCTGTGAAGCTCAGTTTTTAAAAGTTATTAGGAGGTTCATGTTTTCTTTGATTGACACCTGATACAGCCCATGAGCGTTCAGGGATTGCATAGCTCACCCGGGGGATACGCTGTTTGAGCCGAGCGTCATCACAGCGACTCTCGGCGACTCTCTCACCGAATGCGCACAACGCTACTGCGCAGTGCTGGTTTCAGGAAATGAAGGAAAATCCCAGAAATACTGAGAGCTCTTTGGCTTCAAATCTGTATACAGGTGGGAGGCGGAACCAAGTTGTCCATAGTATATACAGTCTATGGTTCCCGCCCATAACATCCCATGCGCTTGCTTTTGAACTCTCTGCTAATAACAGCTCAGGTTGTCCCTAACCTCTTCAGAGGACACAGCGCCATGATTTCCAAAAAGAGTATCAACTTTAGATTCATCAGACCAAAGGACAGTTTTTCACCAAATTGGCATCAAATTGAAAATAATCATGTACTGTTTTTCTTCATAAAGCACAAAGAGATTTTAGTCTCAACACTTAGTATGTCGTCTTTGCACTATTTTAAATTAAATGATTTTCAAACCACCGAAATCTGTTTTAATAAAATTTTACTATCTCTGAATTAATAACGGAGTTGGGGTTGTAGTAAATCAAATGTTCCAGATTAAAAATCCTTCATTTTGTTCATTTTTTCTGCCTTTTTCTCTCCTTTTAGAAGAAGCTTTTCAGAAATAAATCAATGCTCATTTTGTCTAAAACAGACACTTTTAAACTCAGCATGTTTTTCTTGCTGCACAGAAGTCAGCACTTTGCATAAATTGAAGAAAAGTTCTGCACAAAGTTGTACGGTGATTCAGCTCCATGATACTGACCACAGTGTTTGAGGGTCCAAGGCTCTTTCCCTCTGAAGATCCAGTAGAAGATCCCGGTGTAGACCATTCCTCCGTACAGGCCGAAGTAATTGTGGAAGGACGGCCTGATGTTTCTCACCGCGTGCAGCTCTTTCCACACCCACGAGCTCTTCAAGACGTCGCTGTACTCGGGTACGTGGATTCCTGTGAGGTTTAAAAAAAAAATTTAATTGAACAATCGTAGTTTCATTTTTCTCTCTGTTGAAGTCATGTTGACTCTCCTGCACCACATTTCAACACATTTCCTAGAGCACTGAGCTTTTCACCGAGAGAAATAATCCCTGTAGAAACATTTGACAGCGAGTTCAGTGGACTTTTCTTATCTACTGGGACACACGGGCTCTACAGTAGGAACCAAAACTGTGACAGAAATGTTTTCAGTGTCACGAATGAAACTGCATTAACCTCAGGTAAACTTAGAACAGTGGCTGAACTCGAACTGTATATATTTTTTTAAATGTTCAGAATAAGAAGATAAAATGTACACAGTCAAATAAATAGAGTAGCATCAACAGCGTACTGTCTGAACACAATTTATAACCAGTCTGTGTTTGAGTTTAAGACGAAGCAGAAAACTTATCAAGCTCTACTTCTCTTTTTTTATGTTGTAGCAATACTTGGATACTTTTCTACACCTTGAGCTAGGACTGGGCGATATGGCCTCAAATCAATATCACGATATATTGACCAGTTCACCCCGATAATGTTAAATAGAAGATAACTACCCCACAAGCCGTTCACCCCCTCCCACATGAACTTCGTCTACTTCAGCCGCCGCTCCAGCTGCTCTGACGTAGGACAGCGTCAGAGCGCCAACTTTTATTTATTCATTTTTTTGACACCGGATATACTGAGATGGGCAAAATGATGATGGTTAATGTCTTAAATTTTGGTATCGATAAATTTTCGGTTTATCGCCAAGCCCTACCTTGAGCTTTTAAATGATACAATATCTGTTATTTATCAAAACCACTGAAGTCTATGTGGAAACAGTTTATTTCAAGTCGTGTTTATAAGCAGTAAATCTAAGAGAGATCAGGCAGCAGCGGTTAAAGACAGAAAGGCAATTAAACAAACAGAGCTGCCATGTAGAAAGAAAAGAGCACGCATCCTCTGAGTCTCACAGAGCAGCGACTCTCTGAAAATGTCTACATCTCAGCACAACTGTGCAGGTAGGCGCTGGATATTCTTTGGTCATGCTTCCTCCTGCCTGATGTGTCTCCCTGCTCTGCCCCGTCACAGCTACTACACCGCTATTTTGGTATCGAATGAAGACAAACCCATCATGTCAGAGTCTGCTGCAGACTGACAGGAGAGGAGAAAGATGTCACTTGGTCTCTTTACTTTTCTTTCCCTGCAGATTATTGACAGGGAGCTTCATTTCATTGTAAAATGACTGATGTCCAATGAACATTATGACCAAGATCAAATAATTTGGTTACATGGGAAATGATTCACAAGCTCTCCTCGCTTGTGTGCGTTTGTTCACGCAGCTACTACTGTCTGTGTTCTTAACATGAATCAGATTGTCAGACCCTGCTCCCAAAAGTTCCTGTACCTTTGAAAAGTATGGAGACTCTGAGCTGGGACTTTAAGGGGTGGATCAATCAATTAACCTAGAACTAAAGTTAGACCCCAAAGGCACACAGTTCTTCAAAAGGTTTATAGTTCCTGGAGAAAGTTTTTAGAAACTGCAGGGAAGTGAAATATTTGGGTGAACTAGCCCTTTAAGAGTATTACATTTACTTGCTCATCTTTTCCAGACTACAGAGTTTGAATCAGAGAAGTCTGATACACTTTTTTAGTCTCCCTGGAGAATGGCATGCTATTCAGACGATCCCCACTGACATTTGTATTAAATTTCAGATTGATACTTGCTCGACCTCATTCACGTCGGCTGTCTTGATTAGAAATCCTCGAAGTATCTTAAGGAAGCTTTATTGTCTGCTCTCCTATGCCGAGAAATGTTGCTCACTGAAATTTAATCTGCTATGGTAAAGCCTTGCTGCTCTGCTCTGCCATTGTATAACTTAAAAATAAGTTTTCAGCACACTCCAGGGGTTAATTATATTTGGTCTGTTAGGGACTTTCTGTTGAGACTAATCTTCACAGAGTACCCAGAGTGAAATGAAAACAGCCACCGGTGCTTCTATCACGGTCATCAGGGAGTGTTAAATTCAGTACCTATCGTCTCGGACTCCAGGTCCTCTGCTGTGACTTTGGGGAAAATGGTCTCGGCCGCCAGCATGCCGCTCTTCATGGCCGTGTGGGTGCCTTTGATCTTCGGGACGTTCATGAAGCCGGGGCTGCAGCCTATCAGCAGTCCACCAGGGAACGTCAGCTTTGGGATGGACTGCAGAGCAAGATGAGAAAATTCAAGAGGTGTTTTATTTAGACTTTAAAAACGTGACCTGATAGAAAATCCTGGTCTCTGTTTAACGTGATGCATCCCGAGTAAATATTCAGCTCCTACTGGAGGATACCGAGTTCTTCTTAGGCCATGTGGGATATATGGTCTCTGCTTGTTTTGGGTCTTTTCCAAGTGGGGCATAAAATTCCTGCAAAGGGGAATAACCAGCTGATTTCCTGACTGCCTCAAATAACCTGTGTGAGACTGAGCAGTGGCTTTGCTGCTTTGAGACATTTCTGTTTGTATCAGATACATGCTGATAAGTGAGGGTATTAAACCTGAGCAGATAAACTCAGGCAGTGCAGATTCACTTTCATGATCCCAGCTCTCTCTCTGTTTACTCTAATGAAGGTCTGATCGGTGGAAAGTTTGGCACATTAAAGTGAAAACCGCACCGACTAAGAGTGCAAACATCATCTTTTCCACATCAAAAAACTAATTTAATTTCATCATGCTTGCAATCAGATTCTTAACTGTGGTCTCTGCCTCTCAAGATTATCGACAGATATTTGACAGATCAGATAGTGGTACAGTTTTTGCATGAGGATTCGTCTTCTTAAAATAAACTCATAATAACATGATGTCGACTAAGGAGGCTCACGAAAACCAACACAGAGATTCCATCTTGAAGAGACAGCTATGAAAACTATGGGAGCTTTTAAACGATCCATGTGCAGTCTGTGCAGAAAACAGCATCGGATCTGTCCCCCACAGTTCATTCAGAGTTTCAGCTTTTAGCCCCAGAAGATTGAAGTACCCTAAGACCAGGATGGACTGCTGTATCATGGTGCTGTACAAATGAAGGCCAAGAGCACAAATAATTCATGAAACATCGAGACATTTTCCAAAACACAGGAATGTTCGACTGCACAATAAATTCATGAACAGCTAAAAATATTCCACTGAATAAAAGCACGTCACAGGAAATTTTCAAAGGGTGCACCAACATTCCACCAAACTTATAAATATTTCACGAAAAGCAAAAATATTTTTGTGAACTTTTCCTTTCGTCTTGAAATGTTTTTGTTTCATGAATGATTGTTGTGTTTGATGAAGTCCTTGTTGTATCCAGTAATAAACATTTTCGCTTAAATTATTTAGAGGAACTTAAACATGAAACGTGTTTGATGAAATGTTTCAGCATTCATCGAAATATTATGGACATTTAAAGAATTGTTTTTACCCTTAATAAAACTCTACGTGAATTTATCAAACTTTTTTTTGCATCATAAAATATTTTTGAGAATATTTGTTGCATTTAGCAAAATATTCTCTTCTGACGTTTTTTAGTTTCATGACTTACAGTGTGTGTTTTATGTGTTTTCTGTTCAGTGAATAGTTTTGGTATCTAGTGAACTGCTTTTGAAATTTTAATAAAAGTTTATGCAGTTGAATTTTAGGGCCACTGTGCTGAACTCCTGTAAACGTTCATAAAATATACCGAATAACAGGTTATGTAAATGTGGCGAGTGGATGTGAAATTGTTCAATTGAAGTGCTGATGTTTTTTTTAAAGATTGTGATTAAGAATGTTTGAATTTTATTGTCTGCAAAAATCAAACAGAAATTTCATATATATCTTCTCTTCAAAACATTCTATATCTTATATCTTGAAAATGTGAACACAGTTAGTTGATGCATGGGATCAAAGTGTGTCGAGGTAAAAAGATTCAAACAAACGAAGTTACAAACTGGAGTTACTTAAAACATGAACTTTCAGAGTCTCTTGTGATTCCACAAAAACATGGCGACACTTGAGGTTAGGGCTCAGTATCAGAGGATGATTTGTATATCGTAAAGCAGCAGAAGCCTGTTTATTCTTCACTGCTCTGAAAAACATCAACAGAAAAGTTTGTGTTTACAGGTATCCTTGCTGATTAAAAGAAGTAAAGTATGTAGAGATATACCTGTACTCCTCCCTCGTTCAGCGCTCTAGCTCCATATGCTATCCTGTTGCCTCCCTCGAGTGTGGGGGCTACAGAGGGGTGATGTTTCCAGCGCTGAAACTCTCTGAAAGGGCTCAGGTATGGGTTGGTGTAGTCCAGACCCACCTGGAGTTGGAGGAAAAAACACGCTCTTTTAGAAAAACAAGTATACACATATGCAAGTTCAAAAGTTGACAAATGTAGGATGTGTTTTTTTGTTTTGTTTTGTTTTCTGGAGCTACTTCGCCATGGAGAAGAATCTAAACACAGCTTCATTTCCTGCCATGTTCATGTGTGGGTTTAAAAAAATTTCTAAACTTCAGCCACACTTCCACCATGGCATCCACCTGCAGGCTCCAACGAGAGGATTTTAAATATTATCTCACCACTCAGTGTCTGAATTTAAAAATAAATCAGTGTGAAGTGGTGATATTGGAGCCTTCACAGCCAAACACAAACAATATTTTGCTTCTGCATAAAACATTTTAAACCATGAAAACCCAAGTTGTTTGACAGAAATCTGAGATTATCATAAAGCCGCACATACACTGAGCAGACATAGCATTATTAACACCTGGTATCAAATGCAATTCAACCCAATGCAACGGCTTTACCAAAAAACACATTTTCAGGAAGCATCTTAGCTTTGATTTTTGACCCGACACATGATTATTGTTCTATTTATTTAAGAGCTTTATCATAAACAAAAACGTCATGCCATATTTACTTCATATATCTGCAATCGGCCGACCTCCTTTCTAGTTAAAAGCTGCTAAGAGAGCAATAACAGCTGATCACTTACTGAAAGGATAAAGTTTGATTCTTGAGACAATTTTTAGTGCCAATCTGCTCCCTTAAATAAAGCTCTCTGTTTATTACAGTTGCATTCTTGCTGCACTCCTTTCTGACATTCTTGCGCTGTTTTGTTTGCCTGCTACTCCCCATTTCCTGTGTGACTAAGAGAGAGAGAGGATGGAGCTTTAAGATGTGGGAGACAGAGGAGGAATGCTGCTCAAATCAAACACATGGACCCCAGGGGAGGAAGTGGTGAGGACACAAGGCTGAAACAGGAACCTGGCTCATATCCAAGCAGAGCAAACATACTGTTATCTCCCTTATGAAGACACAGTGAGTGATGGTGCATCTGAGTATTTTACATTAAGAAGAATAGTCCTTTACTGTCATTGTAACAGGTACAACTAAATTTAACAGTGCCAGACACTCAGTGTTTCATATATCTTGAATTGGGGCTGCAGCTATCGAATATTTTAGTAATTGAGTATTCTACCGAATATTCCATCAATTAACCGAGTAATCAGATAAAACATAATTTTTCTTAGCTCAACACCCTGTAAGGAACTTTTAACTAGATTTAAAAAATCTCTCATTTCTGCTGATGTCTCCCTGTCACCTGCAACAGCAAATGAGCCCATCTGTGTGAAGATCAGCTATTTCTAAATAGTGAAAACAGGGAGAATGAGAGCCAGTGGTCAGGTCAGGACCACAAATGAACCGATTTACAGCACTCAGACCGGAGACGACACGCACATTTTATCTTGGAAATGTTTTGCCTTTTTTTAAATTTGATCTTTTTTCTCTTTTATCGTCACTTTTTGTGTTTTCCTTTTGTTTCGCCCTCTTATCATTCATTTTGTCCGCTCCGCAAAACCAAAACCACTCTTACTCTTCCTTCTACTGTGGTGACGAAAGTGCATCATGTCAACTTGAAAATAATCCGATTTGAGTTTATGAACGAGTACTCGAGGCAGATAAAATCCCTTGATCATTTTTTGTAATCGATGCCCTCGAGGAGTCGTTTCAGCCCTATCTTTAATATTAGGAACACCTTTTGCTATAATGTACCCTAGTATAACGTTGGTTAACATCTTACTTTGACTTTTGTTATTGTTTGTTCTTTTTCTCTGTCAAAAGTTTTAACTGCATGAGCCAGCTAACAGGATGACATTTACGCTGTAAAAAAAACTAAAATCTTACCAAGTGCAGCTGTCTCAATTCTGATTAAAATAACTCAATAAACCTAATTTAAAGCCGAGACATCTGGGGCCAAAATGTTCCTGACAAGTTCATTAAAATCAGTGTTACATCTGGGTTAAAAAAACTTAAAGGAAGTTTCACTCGCTACAATTGCAGCCAGATCTCTGTCTCTCTGTACTGATAGTCATTTTTCCATTTCAAGTGATGACAAGATGTGAAGTTCAATCAGAGCAGGGAAAGCGTCTGTAACTTTAATATGCCTTTGCAATATCTTTGTGTTATGAGTCAGCCTTTTCTTTCCAACGATCCGCGCTTGCGTGGTGTATGAGGCTTGGCAGAGGATACTCAAACACAGCCAAAAACGCTCGTCCTTGGACCAAACGCTTTACACACAAGGACGAGTTTACCGAGACATCTGAGATTCACTTTTCAGCACTACAAAACGAGTAAACAAACACAAAATGGTTTGTGTCAACTTGACTAATGTCCTTCAGAGCTAACAGTAAAGTCAATTAAAGAAAGGAAAGAAAACACATTTCACTTGAGTTGTTTACCGTAGTGGTTGACCTTGGCAGGAAGGCAGAAGCAGAAGAAGAAAACCGAGAGCTGTTGCCAGTTTCAGTGATTTGTACGTTCTTGAACTGAGCTGTCTTTTTGTGCAAATTTCCAATGTTCTTTCCCTTTATGTCTAACTGGTAATAAGAGTGGACTGACACGTCAAAACACTGGCATAATCTATTTAGATTAAGTCCATGACAGATGGAACATTTCTGTATCTCAAACTCAGGCTCGCACGTTTTTTTCTTCAGCGGTTTACACTCGCACCAGATTTCACTGTCAATCAGTTCAACTTTTGTTTGTTTTCCTCCTGAAGGATGAGTAATTACACGATAAAAAACGCTGGACAGCACATGCTTCCACTATTTATTCAGAGGCTGGAGACAATTATCCAGAGGTTATTTATTGCCTGCATGATTTCCACCTGTCATATCTGTTTATGTGGTTGTCAGGCTGCGTATAGAGCCACTCACCACGAAACCCAAGGCCACCAGAGGCTCTCCTTCGTTCAGGTGATACAGGAAGGAGCCGCCGTATGTGTGTCTGTTCAGGGGCCAGCCCACTGAATGCTCCACTCTGCCCGGCCTCCACTTCTTTTCATCGATCGTCCACACCTACAAAGAAAAAACAAACATAAACAGAAATTTAAAAAGATACAATTATGTTTTTTTTTTTTTTTAAATAATTCAGAGTTTATCATTTTTTCCAATGTTACAACAGATTAACGAAGATCAGACAAATCAGATGTAATGGAGGTCAAAAATAGTAATAATAATAAAATAAATAAACACACAAAGGAAAATGAATAAAAGAAAATAAAAATAAGACAGGCAGGTAAGTTGGCAAGGCGAGAAAGTTAACACATCTGTCCACCAAAACTATCCCATTTTTCTTTTATCGTATCATTTTCACAATTTAATCTCCCCGACATCTTCTGGCATGCTACCGTCCCCATCATCTGTGTTTTTTATCAAGTATTTCTTTAAAATTTTTCTTATCACTTGTGTCGGGTCAATTTACTCCATGACAGACTCTATTTAAAAATCATGCTGTACAGAGTGCTGACAAAACTCTCTCAGCAACTGGAAAAACGAGGAAAACTTGTTTCAAGTGACATAATGAAAAATCACTGCAGAAAGTCTGAAACATACCTGAACAAATGTAATAAATACATCTTGTACTTTCAAAAAACTAATTTAATTCAGTTTGAATCAGAGCTGTCAAAATCACAAATTCATTTAATTGATTAAACACAAGAAAAATAACTTATTTTATATGAGAGCAGCTTAACTTCACTCTAACATCCCGCACAACTTATCTTCTTATGTCCACAGCAGCTGTGTGATACCTGCTATAGATTTAGTACTTTATAGCAGAGTTAGTCTCTTCATTTAAGAGACAAACACCATCTCTGATTGATTAATAAGCCTGTTTTAGTCTCTGTCCCTGACATAACTGTCTTGCCTGCAGACACAATCTCACACACACATACATCTAGCTCTGTTGAGGCCAAGCATTTTCTGATTAACATTAGACTGCCTCTACCCGTGTCCAATTCATACCATAAAAAAATGTTAATCTCACTCTTTCTGACACCTCACTCATTAAAATCCTCGTCCACATGTGACTCAAAAGATTTGCAATTTCTTAAATCATTCAGCTGATGTCAACACTGCAAACATTCAGAGGGGGAGTAAGGCAAGGTGCAAGCGTGGGAGAGTCACGAGGAGGGAGGGCAGCATGATCAGATTATGGTAGTTTGTGGACAGCACACTTTAAGGTGAAGAATAAACTACATGAACTCAGTGAATATATTCAATTCTATCCAAGATTTATCCAATTTTGTTCATAAAACGCTTCGAAAAACAACAAAAGCTGCCCAAAGTGTCTTTCAATCAACACAGAACAAAACTAAACCCTGACACTCATCTCAAATTTATGTATAATGTAAAATTTATGTACTGGTGTTTATCGTTTATTTATTCACTACAGCTGTAAACTCGTGTTTGCAGTTCTGGTCAAATTTACACAAACAGCTTTAAGCCTTTCAGCAGTTTTTCTTTTTTTTTAATAAATACAAGTGTGGAGGAAAAGTTGCCGCATTTATCACACGTTTCTCCACAGGGATTCACATTACAAAAAAGATATACGCGCAGTTGTGCTCACAGCAGATAAATCCTCTGTGAAGCAGCAACATTAAAGTAGCCACTCTTATCTCCTCTGGTTGGACTTCAGTCATCTGGCACAGTCAGTCAAATCATATCAGAGGGAAAATCAAATTAAAAGGCCACAAACGTAGTGAGCAGCCCTCTAACCACTTTGAGATTAACATGGGCGGTGTGTTGTTTACCTCCTTGAGGCCAATGGCGTAGGTCTGCGGCTCACAGTTCTCTCGCAGGTTAAAATGCTTGTAAAGCTGCTTGGCCAAATGACCATGGCAGCCTTCCCCAAACACTGTGACTTTAGCGTGGAGCTCCATCCCCCTCTCGAAAACATCCTGAAGCAAGAGCAGACGAGGACACGAAAAGGAACATCATGAATGAAATACATACAAAACTGGGCGCATCAACCTTTGGAGCCGGAACCTTTTCCACCAGGATTTGTATTTTCAAAACATTTTGGATTTTCAAAATTATACACTGGATTGTTTGTATAAAGGAGATGGGTATAATTCAACTGAATATTCTCATAAAACTTCACCATGTCATTGAATTTGATGCTGTAAACAAGTTGTTTTTTCATGCTCTCTGAATAAATGAGGTCAGTTAAGTTCATGAGCTGCTGGAGGTTTATCCTTTATGTCCTTCATGCACCCAGACTATTTATGTGTCTGAAATTGTCCAGAGCGGCCTCTGTTTGTAACTTTCTATGCTACAAAGCATGAGATGACAGCTGACCTGTTTCATAAATACAGTTCTGCATGGTCAGTACCTTAGGTGAACCATCCTTAGCGATGCCGACATCATTGGTGGCGATTCCTTTTACACTTCCGTCTTCATGAAATAAAACCTGGAAATAAAATACAGAGAGAAGGTGAACAGCTGCAGCAAAAAGAGGAGAGGATAGAAACCGTATTGATATACCGAGGAAATTATGAGGGGCAAACATTGATGGAGGCCTTGTTTAGACTGGCCCAAGGTGAAATGGAAATACAAAGCAGTTGGCAGGTAAACACTGTGTTTACAGAAAACAACGTGGGCAAATTTACGGGTCGATTAGGAAGCTGATGCCACTGTATTTTGATGCATGTAGTCAGACAAAGCAACTTCCCAAAAATCTTCCAGCATTCAAAATCGCAACACCAGTGAAAGTTGTGATAAAATAACAAATTTTACAATATAAAGAAAAATAGGAAAAAGCCAGGAAGAGGTTTTCACCACCAGGCTTTGAAATATCACAACATCAGTGTCTGATAAAATGTGGTTTATGGACAGTGATCCACCATCCAATGCAAAAAAAAAAGGCAAACACACTTGTATTACATGACGATTATGAATAAAAATAGTAGATGACTCACCTCAGCTGCAGCGTAACCAGGGTAAATCTCCACCCCAAGTTCTTCTGCCTGCTCCCCCAGCCAACGTACAAAGTTTCCCAAACGCACAATATAGTTACCGTGGTTCACCATAGGTAGACCTGCAGACAATGAGGAGGAAAACCACACGTTTAGTTTCTGCACATCTTTCAAAATCAAATTGAAGACTTTTAAGACCCAAACAAAGAAAATCAAATATTTTTTGTGCTGGAGAACAAACAGCAATTTATACAGATGTGACATATCCAACTTTGGATCAAAAGCTGTATTCGTTATTTTTCACCCTATTATCATTGTTATCCCAAGCAAATATTTCCAAAGGTGAAGAAAGAAAAAAGTATTCTGATTGAAATTTTTCAGCACAAACAACAAATTAGACTCCACAGAAGGTTATGAATCTAAAATTGTGTTTTCTGTCATTGAAAAGAAAAGAAACTTTTTCAGTTTTCAAAGTTTCAGATAAAAGGGCAACAGAAATAGCAGCTTTGACGTAAAGGTGGCTGAAAATGCAGCTTCTAATCAAATCTATTTTATGCATTTATGAATTAACAATCTTATAGAAGCGATGCTCTCAAACTCTAGAGTTTAAACTTGGTTTATACTGCACAGCACTGTGAAGCAGTCGACGCCTTGTTGTGCAGATATGTGCTCCTCTATCCTGAGGTATGTAGTTTCTATCACTAGCTGCAGGTGAACAAACCTGACTCCTGACAAATGCTGGCATGATAAACAGAACTTCCTTACTTTAGCTTGGCTAGAGCAAATACAGCCACCTATGAACACAGTCAGTCCATACATGAGGAGGGTGAACTGCGTTGATGTTTGCTATCAAAATAAAGGCTTACTTTAAACCAAGAGCGGAGTGTCACACTGTTTAGACACCAAGCAGGGTCAAAAAATTCAATGAATTGTTGAATAAGCTGAAAAAAATACACAAAACATCTAAAGAAAGACTTTTCAAGGATTTAGGAGAACCCTGCGCTGAGTTTTCAGGTTTTCTTAAATTTCATTTTGACAACCTCGAGGCAGAAAAATGATACTGACACATACTGATGAGTCTTTTTACCAGACAGGTTACAAACACTGTATAGTCACGTAACAGAATCCAGCAATTAAACAACTCATAATAAACTACACCAGTAGTTCTCAACTGGTCTCACTCTGGGACCAACATTTTCCCATGGTCCTTAATTTGCGACCCACTTCTATAGAATTCAAACCAAACCTTTAAAGACTCAAATCTTTAACACAAATACACCATTTATTGAGTAAAATGCTTTTCAGAGCACATGAACTGAGGAAGACTACTACTAAAGTTCCATATACACAGAATATCAAATTGCACAAAATGTAGACCAGCAAAATGAAAATTTGACTTATATGCGTTTCAAAATAAGCTATTTTTTCAAAATAAAAGACATGTCAAACATCAGACGCACATTAAATAGCTTCTTTTTTGACCAGCTGTTCCGGACCCACCAGCTGAGAACCACTGAACTACACTGTATCCAAAGTCATCCCAATCCAAACCATCAAAAACTCTGAATCCTGTCTGTTTGAAACTTCACCACTCTGATTTTATTCAGACTTCACTTTTGAGGTTGATTGCCTGCATGTCCCCCTCAGCTCTTACCTATTTGGAGCCTTTTCTCCTCGCAAGGTAAATACCACAGAAAGTTAAAAATGCCATTCTACCTCCCACTGAAGCTACACAAATATCAATGAAATACCATCTTTGAAAAGCAGAGCCCTTCTCTGATCGATAGTGGACAGAATAAACTGGCTCTTACCTGGTAAAATGGGAACAGGGATTCTGTGTTTCTCTGTTAAAATGCTGAACACATCTTCAGTCACTGGAGTGTTAAGAGGTGCCTGCGAAAAGAGCACAATTTATGTTGATAGGAGTTTGACATCGAGAGGATTTAAGAGTTTAAATACATATTCATGTTAAGTATTAATACAAGATTTACTCTATACAAAACTACTAAGAATTAATGCAATTGTACACATGTAGCAAGTGCAGATGTCTGTCACTGTTGATGAATGAACTCTGTACTAGTAGGAAAAGTATGCGGAGTAAATGTACTTATGTTATATTTAACTCTGGTGCCTGACAGTCACGTGACGTATGACACGGCAAACTATGACAACATGGAGCATCTGATGTAACCATCCTTTATGGTACAAAGTCAGTGCATCTCTGCAGTACACTCACCCCTCGTTCTTTCCAGTCAGGGAAGAGCTCGTCGAGGGCGCTGGGCTCCAGACAGGCTCCTGACAGAGTGTGTGCTCCGATCTGAGAGGCCTTCTCCACCAGGCACACCCGCAGCTCCTTCTCATGCTCATTTGCTAGCTGTTTCAGACGAATGGCTGCTGAAAGACCGGCAGGGCCTCCACCTACGATCACCACATCTGCCTCATCGGCAAATCTCTCCATTTCGACGCCTGAGGGAGGAGGATGTGAAGAGATGTTGTAAAGAGAGGGACAATGTGTGATCATCAAGTTTTTAATATACTATGGGGGTGACTGAACCAAAACTGAAAGGTTAAGGCAGGATTGTTTTCCTCTTTATTGGAGATCAGTGTGACTTTTCTCTCTGAAGCTGTATTTTAGCAGGAGACACCTTTTAAAGCTTATTACCACTGATTCCTCTAAAATTGAAACATGCACGATCAAAGCAACTGGCCTTAAAATAAACTTTAACCCTTCAACCAAACAACAGAGGAAGGATCTGGTTAAATAATTTAACAACTCAAGAGCCCTGATATTTTTGTAAAGCCCAATCATGAAGCTCTAAATGTGAAAAAAGGCAGATTGATTCACTAAGAAGAATGAGACTGAGTGAAAAGTCAGTGTGACCGCTCGATTATGGCAAAAATCAAATCACAATTACTTTAATTGATACTGAGACCTTGATTCTTTAACACAATCAATCATGAATTGACATCTGCATTAATGCACTCACGCAACTCCAAAACTCATCTAAACTTAATCACTCTGAGCACTTGCAATAAAAAAAAAAAACATCAAAATAAAATTAAAATTGATGAGAGGAAAAAAACTTTTTATCCTGTTCGTTTATCAAAGCATGTCTGTCCGTCCAACATTCATTTATTTACTTTATTAACAGCTTTGAGATGATTTTTAAAACACTCACCAAACCAAATGGCAGACTTTTACTTGTATTAATGTAGGAATCTTACAATGTTATTAAAAGTGACAGGATCTGAGCTCTTCCACAACATGTCATTGAGCCTTTTCAGACTTGTATCTTTATAATGTCAAGAATTAGGATCATCTTTTATTATGATATAGACTGATGTCGCTGTTAAGCCTTGCAAATGTTAGCTCTTTAACAACGTGGGATCACTACAGCCTCTCTGTTGTTAAACTTACATTGTCCCTCAGCATTTCAGACGTATATGTAAACTTGCGCACACACCTGCGTCCTCTTGCTCCTCTCACTGCTTTCCTCTATCCACCTGCAGCTGCATGATAGTTTGTACTAAACAAAACATCTAACTCAGAAAAAAAATGCAGCTTTTTTACCATCTTCTAAGCCAGCAAAAGCAATAAATCCTTTGTTTTGGTCTTTATCTTCTTTGTCACATAAGTTTCTAATTCCTTATTCATAAGCTTTATTCCTGCTTAACTTGCACCAGACACTAACGTGATCATTTAGACAAGTCTGAAGTCCATCTTTCCCCAACAAAAATTCATATTCAGCTTTATGTTTCGTATCATTCCTCTAAAAAAATTAGCCAAGAAGCTTATAGTTGCTACTCTGGTTGCACAAGCTTGACAGCCTGACAGCATTCAGGTCTGCTTTTTTCTCCATGCCCCTGTGGTGGTCAGTTATTGTGATGTTTTAAGTTTCACTAAAAGTAAAACAACATCAGGAGCTTCATTGCACAGACAACCTCATAAACCGTTAATGTAGATGTGCTTCTAATTAATACATGCCTTTTATTGGCAAACTATGCAGCCACACCCTGCTGCTAAAAGGGACCCTGCCTTTAATTGAGACAGGCTTTTATTGGAAGTTTCACAAAATAATGACTGAAGGGTGCAGATGGATGTCTCTCCAGTGTGTCGTATGTGGCCAGCTGTGACCTCTAGAGTGTGAATATAAAGGATAAGATATCACCAGATATTACAACGGCTTACCTTCCCATCTTGAATCTTTTTCTCGAGGGTGGATGGTGTAGTGTGTTGTGATTCGAGGCGTTGACACAGAGGAGCATGTCCGCCTGTGTAGTGATGTGTACAGCTGAGGGGCAGCATACTCTGTTTGCACTGTCTTCAATGCCCTGATACACCTGTGGGCTGTAAAAGAGAGAGAAAGCAAGACCAGTCAAGACCAGCTGAAACTAGTGGACATGTGAAGAGTGAGTTTGGTGGTTCAGTTGAGCTGGATCTGGTTCACAGATTGTATAACACAGATTGAACACAATCAATAATTGACTTTTAACTGATGTCTTGCGAGTCAAATCACGTGGGAAGTTTTGTAAAAGTAACACCTCAGTGAAAGGAAAATACAGCTGTACATAGAGCAGCTGTCACACATGAAGTTGCAGCAGTGGGATCATGCTAGCAGACGGAGGTGTTTCCTAAGTCTTCCAGCTTTCTTCTACACCAGCAAAAACTTGGCTGTACTTTCCTCAATCAATGGAAAGTTCTGTCTCATGCTGGAATATCTGTAAAGGTGTATTTTGGACGTTTAACCCAGGACAAGGACACCATTCACATGACCCATATCTGGGTTCAACTTTCACCTACATTGTAGCTTGAAGCTAACAATAACGGACAAACTCTGCTGTTTGAGCTCATGCTTACACATTTACTTTTAAGAAACAGTTCTGTAAAGTGAGGCAAAAAAAAGGGAGACACTGTGTAAATATAATGTAATTTTAGTGTAAAAAGTTGCAAGTATAGCCCTTGTACAGCACAGCATGCCGCTACACCTCAGCTAACTAGCCGTTAGCTTAACGTACCTTTACTCGAGTATCTACCGGCTGGAAACATTGTATGACAGCTGGTGTACTCTCACAGGCACACCGTGGTTTTCCTTCAAGTGGACGAAGCGAAGTTGTAGTATCCTCACGACGCTGCCGTTTCACAGCCTGAGTGACCAGAAAACAAATATTGAGCCCTGGTACGTTACAAAATACGTCTCATAACATGGACATCGATGAGCGTCAAATGCTGCGCCGCAGCGGCGGCGTTCACGTAACGGGACAGCGTCGCTGTAACTGCGTAAATGTAGATCTATATATATGACAGCATTCCTGAGAGTGAGGGTAAACCTTAGAGACAGATGTATACAAATCTGCTGTTTCCATAAAAGAAGTCGTCTAAGGTAACTAGACACGTTGTCTTCTCCAAGGAAAAGACATTTGGAGGTTAGACAACTGTAATTAACAGTATTCAAACAGCCCAATGAAGCTTAATGAAGACAAAATAATTTTTTTTAGTAAGGGAGACCAGAGTTAGACATACCAATCCATAGATCAACCGATCTTTCTTGTTGATAACACAACAAATGTAAAATTATTTAATGTCCTTAAATGTTTTCACATAGGGGACAGTGGGGTAAGTTGAGCCACCCCCTGTTTCTTGGAAATGGTAAAAGAAATTGATCATGTGACCCAATATTTAGGAGATGGGTATCGATTCATAGAGTCTGTGAAGGTGAGAAGCACATGAGTGAAGAGGTTAGACATTTATTTACAAAAAAAAAAAAAAAAACAGGGAGCTGAGCTTGAGCAGGAGCCCCTCCTGATCCCTTGTCAAAGACTGATGCTTATCTAGCTGAAATCAGGCTCAAATCAAAACTGTTAACTTCCACTTTTTAGTGTCTGTATGTAAAATGACTTATGTTTTAATACTCAAAATACAAAAATATCAAACCAGAGAAGTTTTAGGCACACAAATATTTATTTTCAACATTTCAGCCAAGTAAATCAAAAACAAACAGCTTTTTCAAGAAATTCATCGTAGGACACAAGTCAACACAACAAATCAAATGATAACACAAGTTTACGGACAGCTTTTTTTAATCAATATTAAACATAAGCCTGGAGATATAATAAAAATATCTCGAGTAAACTGCTGGTATCTTTGTCTTTTCAGCTTGTATAGGATGGTAATGTAAACAAACACAAGCAGCACAGGTACAATGTAGGTAAACAGCAATCAAACGGCATTCGTCGTATTCACCAATCTGAGTTTAAGTCACCACCGCTGATCTCTGCGTCATAGCAGGTTTGCCATACATTCATGCATTTACAACGTCTGAAACAGTCAATTTCCACAGAAATCAGTAGTTCATTGAGCAGCCGATGCACCAAAGAGTTGATGATCTTTGTACAGGTTACGGTAGAAATCCCGGTGTAAAAATCTGTCACGTGATGTGGTGGTTTGGAGAGCCAGAGGAGAGTCCAATTTCAAACCCCAGACCAGCTGGAGGATTTTGGGACAGGTTTTATAAAAGGTCATGTAAAAGGTTTGAACATGTTTTGTGTATTACATTCAATGTATTTGTGAACATATGAACATAGCTCTGCATTAATGCTAAAACTTGGTACACTGACCTCAACAATGTTTTCAGTTACAAGCAGGTTGCAAGTTTCACCATCAATATGAGATAAAACAAGCAAAAAAACACAGAAGATGACTGTGCATCTACACTTTTGAAAAGATAAAATGCATAAAAAAAACAAGTATCAAAGTTCTCAAAGGAACTGACCAGAGAGTGAGAGAACAAAAACTTAACTTTAATCTTTTACTGGCACACGCCACAGTTTTTCTTTAATGACCTTTCAATGAACGCAAGGCTGCCGTGGACAGATTTTTAGTGTTTTGTATATTAATGCCTCTTTGTGACATAAAAATGCAAACAAGATTACAACATTATTTGTAGAAATAAGTTCCTCTGGATGGTTGCCGCAGATGGACTGCTGCTGCCAGACTCCCTCTGCTACAATTATTCACATTAGTGTCACTATTATTATCACCGTTACAGTGATGTTCATGTCAGAACAGCTTGACTCCAACTGCTAGAATAGATCTTATTGTTCCTTCCCTTATCAACTTCATGACTGCAAATACTTATCTTAGTCATATTACTTTATAAACTTTACTTATTACATATTATGTATGTCATCATCTATTTCTAATATTGTTGAAAGTCAAATCTTTGCATCACCAGCGCTCCTTTAGAAAAGAGACCGTCTCATAGAACAACTATTCCTCATGCTATTATTTGGACATTTTTACAGTGTTGCATTTACTGTCTTGCACTGTCTTGCATTGTTACCCCCTATTATTTTTTGGCATCGCATTGTTTTGAAAAAAATAAAAGAATGTAAATGTCAGTGCCAGTAGCTTGTCTCAGACCTGCTTAAAAGCAAAACGAAAATATCCAATGATTATCTTTACTTATTTTGGTTGAGTTCTGTTTTTAAAAGTTCGGATTGAGCCTCTAAACCCAAAGTTATTTCATTCCAAATGCATCTAATGAGTCTGCTGGGAGCTGAAGAAGCATGGGTCAGTTTTTAATAGGGCTGTTTTCTTGAATTCAAACAAAATATTCTGTTTAATCACATTTGAGCTTAGCAATTCTCATGATTTTATTTCATTTTTTTGTTTCAGCCCTTTGTAAGAAGTTAAAGTTAGTAACACAACCTTAAAGAGAAGATGCTCAACAATAAGTGGATATTTATAACTGCTCTGTATGAATTTATATCTGTTTGCAGCAAACATGTAGTCTTATAATGGAGGAGGGGAACTGCAATAGAGTTTCTGCATTGACTGTGCCTTTCCCATCATGACTGCTGCCTGGAACACAGATGCGCACGGTGGGTTTGCAAACACACCTGTTGATTAAAGTGTCAAAGTTCAAACACTTTAAATATCAGAGATGAATGAGCCTGAATCTGCTAAGCCGACTCTGATGAAATCATGAACAGATCCACGTCTGAGGAAATCATGTGTCCTGTGTGTGTGAGTTTGTGTGCGTCGGTGTGTGTTTCTGCGAAGACACCGCCAGCACTATATGCTGCTTCTGCTGCTGCGTGCACTTGTCGATATCACTGTATCCATCGTTTGTTACTTCCACAGGCGTGAGCTTGGCTAGCGTGCCTGTCGTGATGGGCGTGTGCCCCGTGGTGGGGCCATGGCTGTTCTCTTGCAGCGGCCACATTTCCTGCCAGGTGAGTGAAGGATGCTGAGCCGGGTGCCCACTGAGCAGAGGCCGTTTCTGTCTGTAGTTAGCCCAAACCTGCATAATGGTCTCTTTAAAAGGCCGTGTGGTCAGAGTGTACAGGATGGGGTTCAGAGCGCTGTTGATGGGGAGAATAAAAATGACCACCCAGGAGCTGATGCTGCCTGCAAAGAGAGAAAAACTGGAATAACTTCTTTGCTGTCGTATGCCTCCTTGAACTTATTTCACCTTTGACCCACAATATCACTATGGGTGGAGAATAAATGTGTGTTTATTTGTGTTTCAAGACAACACACTACCAACATCAGGAGGGAATGTCTCTCAAACACAAAGTATTAAGGATGAAAGTTCAAATTCTAGCCTGGTGTTGGTGAGATATTCCCTAAAGGAGAGTAATATTGATGGTGAATCACCAGCTTTTATCAGTATTGATCCAAGAGGTTAGAACAGCCTTCCAGGCTTTTCACAGACATCACAATCACAAGAGCAGGATAGAAATAACGGTCCAGAAAAACAGTCATTTGAATTCATAAATTCTTCCTGATGAGTGTCGATGTGACAGAGACGCAACCATAACGTTTGATGTTTTTTGCTACTGTTGTTTCGAACAACTTAAGGGACAGCTGTAGGGGTCAGTGTCACCCAAGCAGCTCAAGAAACAGACTTTTTTTATACTGTCCACATGTAAAATACTTGAAATAAATGATCAATCTGACTGCCAAGAGACCTTTTTGTCAAAAGACACTACTGAAGCACGTATAAGAGAAAATAAGCAAAGATTACTTTGTCCATAGGGGGTGCCAAAATTGACAGATCATAATTCCTCATAGAAGCTTTAACACTGCAGCAAGGTTAGTCAAAGGCCGTCTCTTTATTGACCATCGCTCATCTTAGTAGTCCATCAGACAGTTTGTGTACTGGTGTCATATCAAGTACATAGAATTTTTGTTTGGTTATAGCAAAACATCAGAAAACAGACAACAGAAAAAATGTTGCTGTTCTTTTTTAGAATCACACTTAAGTGAACACATCAGCCCGATAAGAGCAAACGCTCAGGCTGTATGTGTACTGCAGCTGACCCTGCAGTCAGGCTGTTTGTGTACTGTAGCTGACCCTGTCCAGAGAAGTGCCTCTGAGACAGAAATAACCCACAAAGATGTCAAATCAACTGTAGCATGCACTGATGTGTTCTGGGTGGTCTGGTGTGGAGCAGGATTATTCCAAAAAAGTTTCTGACCAAGACAAGTTTTTAGTACTTTACAGATATCTGGGCCCCTGATCGCAAAATTATGATTCCTTTACTCTCAGTCTGAGCAGATGTTTGAGCAGACTGGCAGACATATAAGAGCTGAGGACTGGGGGAAAATACAGACAACTCAGAACTTTGTGCATCCGACCACGGCTGTTGCAGCTGCAGAGGCTTAAACCATAGATGGAAAGCTGCTTTATCACCTCTGTCAAAAAGATTTCTAAACTACACATTGTTATAGGTTGGCAGAAACAGAAACTCTTTTCATCAGAGCCATTTGTATAATTAATGAAAATCCCTTTAATCCCTGCAGGGAGCCTAATTAGGGAGCCAAAGCTCACCAGGTTGTGTTTATAATGGGTTTACACAACACTAATGGGTCATTTGGGAGTACAGAACAGAGTGAAAGCATTAAGGTTTCCACGGTTTGACGCTCCTCATCCAGTTATAAAAACCCTAGAAAAATCCATTAATGTTCTCAGGAACACTTGTTCAGCTTACAGGAACACTTGGTTAAAAAAAACAAAACAATGTTTTTACAAATCACGCTTCCGAGCGGTCATCTGTTCTGTCGGCCTTAAACTGGATCCCACAGTCTGTTATTTTGAAGAAGAGTGCAGATGCAGAGCTGACAGTCAAAATTAATTGACTCCACAGGCCCCCAAATCAGGGCAAAAAAACAAGATGTCAGAATGTATTAAAAGAACCATAAAACCAGCTGAAACACACGAGCACCAAAAT